AGTTCTTGAATGTGGATTTGCAGATGGTTCCTTCTTAAGACAAAGCTCCATACAGCTGTTTGATCAGTCACCTTTTTGATATGAAGTTGTGATTGTTGAGGCGCTTGTAATTTTTGGGGGTTTAATCTAAAATATCTACCATTAACAGTACAGTATCCCTGGGAGTCGAACCTTTGACTTAAGGTTCGTTGATCGGTTGAGGCTGAATAACTTGTGAGGGATCATTCCTGGTGTTAGAATATCTGACCCTAAGAAAAGCAAACCCTCTGCAGCTCGTCCTGTTTAATTAACCCATCATTAACCATCATCATCGACACGCTGCTGTGCGGCAGGTGGAGGATTTACTGTCGTATAGGAGTGGTGCTGATGCTGCAGCGACGCAGATATATCCCTCCGTCCCGCCCTCTGTCACTTCACTAAGCCGCTCCCACTGACCCATATAGGGTTGTTACCATCACAAAGCCCCCTGGGGAAGCATCAGCATGTGATTATCAGCTGACGGCAACTGAAAAGCTTTATAATGCTGCGATCAGAGCTTGGCTGCTTTAGTTCATTTTCATATGATGCATGTCCACATGTGTTCCTCCCTGCAAAACTGTGTGTGCATCAGGAGTGGCGGTGTACAGGGACGTTTGTGTGCATGTATATGTGTGTGTTTTAGGGGGGAAGACTCGGTGAACTGAGCGAAATGCCTCATATATAGCCGAGTAAATTTCATCCCAGTGTGCTGCTAAGTGGCCTAAAACGTCGTTTTAAGTCCTTATTCCCATTTATCTGCAGATCCAACATAATCCCAGATTACAAGAGAAAGATAAGCGATAGATGGATATACGAGATTAGGCTATTACTGATCAGCAACACTTGTAGCTTAGGTAGTGAAACCTGGTGAGCAGCCAAAACAAAAACGTAAGCTGCAAGAGGAGCTCGCGTTTTTTTTCTTCATAAATTCGAAATTTCAAATAATAGTAATAGTGCAGGGATTTGATATAAAATTCTTATTTACATATTAAGGCAGCTGTAATACTTGAACAAGCAAGTAGGGGCCCATTGACCTAATACTATTTCAATAACTGTCCAGAATACAAAGAGAGAATTGTGACATTAAGAGTCTTTCTGGTTGTCATGGTCACACATAAATCATATCATTAGTCAGCCCTTATTCTTATCACTGCTATGTGAGGCTGTGAAAATCAACACCACACGTCATAACACCAACTCACCCCAGCTGTTGTTGTGCTGGTAAGATGCATGACGACCGTGGTCACTCGGCATCTTCCGTTGGCATCAGCGACTGAAACAAGCAGAGCTGAGGGTTTTTCCATCCTCCAGTCTCACAGCAGATCAGTTCAAAGAGCGCTCTAATTATAAAGAGGCTCGAGGGCACGTGGGGGGGGCAGCCGCAGTGGATTTGAAGCACACAATATGCACGTACCGCTGGTGGTGACGGAGCCATTTCCTACTGCAGCTCTTCTTCTGATTCACAAAAACTGGACCGTCTCTTATCGCCACGGAAGGAAACAAGAGCGTGCACAGTCCCGTCGTATGTGGACCTCAGTGACTTTCTGCTGCAGTGACACAAACCAAAATTGTGACCATTCAGTTAGATCATTTTAGACATATTCCGCTCACATTCATGTTCACAATTTCAATTGTTATACGTGAAAAGGTTTCCATTATGTAATGTTCCGAAAACACGTCACCTCAATCTGTCCTTCGCTGCAGCTCTTCTTTCAGCCTCTGTCTGAAACACTTGGTTTTAGCTGCTGTCTCTTTAAAGCCCAGTCTGCTACGATCTGCAAAACAAAGCACTGAAAATTTTGCATTTGTGTCAAGTTTTGGATCAAACTCTTTAAACTGGTTGTTATTTAACACCATTACAAGTTCCATTACAACTGCACCAAGCCTAATAATCCTGCCAACACTGTGACTGTACCTTTAAATTCTCGTAGATGCCAGTGCTGCTATGCTAAGGCTTTGTTTTTAGGATAAATTCCGTTTAAAACGCCTTTTCTTTTTTTTTTTAAATCCTGTCATTTGGAGAACCACTTCTTTGTCTAATTTGGAGAGAATACCTTTAAAATAACAAAGTTAGCATCGTTAAATCCAATTCAATATAAATATCCACTTCATATTTTTCCTGCGTAACTAATTTAATGACTCCGCTCGTCAATATCTCCTTTTATTGTGTTGCCGTCTAAATATTTTGTTACACTTATTTGTACCTTCAGGGCTCCACAGCTCATACGCCGGCCACATGGGGCAGATCGATCCAGAGCTGAGGGCCGCGTTGTCTCCAGACTGCCACATGACGCCCGTCTTCGACGAGCGATCCTTCCACAGCCCTCTGTACCATAGCCCCACCCACGACCCCCAGGGCTCCCTCTACAGGACAAGCACGGGTAATTGCAGCCACACATGCAACGAAACAAGACATCGAGACATTTCAAATGACTGTGCAGCTACTTCAGTATCGTAAAGCAGCGAACCGCTGAGGGGCCCCGGTCCCCAGGTTGAGAAGCTGTCCTCACTTTCACATCAGCTTAGAAGATTATCTCTCTAAATATCTGTGGTGGCAATCACAGTTTACAGCGACAGCAAACTGTTGTTATTACCGCTCCCCGAGGTCAGAACTTAATTAGGCTGAAACCTTTCATGTAGTCTGCCGCTTCTTAATTGAAGCCTTTGCAGAATAATTTCAAGCTGAAAGCTCGGTGGGGTTTGATAGTGGAGGATCTGAGGAATCATTTCGGTTTCGTTTAGACAAGAGTTGAAACAGCTTTGTATCGCAGATTTAAAACCATCTTCTGCTCATTTAATCACTTACAGTATATAACATGGTCTAACTTTCCTTTTTTGCATGACCTCGGATGTGTTTTGATCTGCATTCCCTCCGGCCTTGACGCTGCTTTACTGGATTAAGTATTTTTGCAAAATATATCTGATTTCTCTCCCTCAGGCATGGGGACACTCCCTCGTACCACAAGCCATGGTGGCACGCTGCCATACCAAAGAAGCAGCTACGGGCTGAGCTCTGCAGCACTGTACGTCGACACCTACAGGGCCTCTGGGGAACCCAGCTTCTCACACCGGCACTCGGGACTGATGGACCGGGTTGCTACCCGCACCCCGTCCATTGAGAGCATACATAAGGACCCTAGGTATGCACACACACAGGCAACGTCCATCTTGTACGATTTCATTTTAACAAACCGATTTAATGTTGATCTCCACCCTGCACACTGTACATGTGCATGCTGGTCTAAAGAGGACACTCCGCAGTGCCTCGTCCAAATCCTGATGAATAGATATAAAGAGATAAAAATAAAACGATTCTGATTTAGGTCTAAGGTGCTGAAAGGTTTTCCTGTTTGTCTCTGATTAGGGAGTTTGCCTGGCGGGATCCCGAGCTGCCGGAGGTCATCCACATGCTGCAGCATCACTTCCCCTCCGTCCAGGCCAACGCAGCCGCGTACCTGCAGCATCTGTGTTACGGAGACAACAGGGTCAAGGTGGAGGTAAGGTGACCGGACACGTGGGCGGCTGTCTGGGTAAAAATAACAAGACACACGTCACAGACATGACTCAGTCCTGAGGTGGAGGCTGCCTCACTCAAAGGTTTCGCTCCTGATCAAGGACACTTTTGAAATATTTTTCAAAGATATGTATAAAATGTCCTTATATGCAGTTTGAAATATTTAATTGTTATACTCTACACAATTAGTTAACTGTAAAGCCAGACATTTTGGT